CGCGCGTTTTCTACCCAGTGACAGGGGGCGCGCCAAGGGGAAGGGGAGCGCGTTAACTTTAAAGGCGCATATCTCAAAAACTATTTTAGCTAGAAAAAATTTGTTAACATAAAAAATGTAGAGCATCAAATTTTACACACATTACTAGTTAGTTATTTTATTCTAGCTATTGTAGTTTTTGAGATATGATCTTCTAAAAAATCAACTCAAATTTTTCAAAATTTTTTTCCAGACCATCAACAAGAAGGCACTGGGAGCAGAGTCTTTGGCCGAATTGGGACACCTCGATATTCAATTTCCGGTTAAAGGATTCGCAGGTACCGTAATCCAAAATGGTCTTTCTGACACCGACACCCTGAATAAGAAGATGTTGAGTCCGGAGTCGATGTATGAGCTGGAGCAAGTCATGGATTGTTTCAATGTAATTAGTTTTTTTCAAAAATAGTTAATTGTCCAATTAACTTTTTCAGATCAAGGACGAATCAATCAACGCATTTGTGTTCCGCGAGTTCTCTCCCGAAACGTTGGCCGATCTCCGTGAAATTCGCAATTTCTCCCAATATACGGATTTCCCAGGACCATTCAAGGACGTTCAAACTGGAATCGGGATGTCGCCAACACAATCGGAACGTTTTCAGTTTGAATGGACTGAAAATGTGGCGTATGGAGGGATCTGAAACTCCCACCCCCCACCAAAATGGTCGAATCAGGACAGAAAAAGATATTATTTTATTGAGCTGTGAATGTTTGTGTATTTGATGGAATGAATAAAGGTTTTTCTTATGTTTCTGGTTGGAATAAACATCAAAATCGGTTCCTACACACCTGAAAACCTAGAAAAAACAACAAAAAAACCACGAAAAAACGAGTTTTTAAAAAAAATAGCATGGATGGCCTAGTGGGATTTTGGATAGGAAAATCTACTAATCTCAACACCAGGGTTCGATTCCACTTGGTGCCAAACTTTTTTGCGTCTTTTTTGAGCATGGTTTAGTAATTTTCAAGGCTTCTAGATGTCATTTTCAGATTTTTCTGAAATTCTGAAAATCTGGAAATCCAAAAAAAAGTTTTTTCGACGGTTTTTTTAGTTTTTGAGCAGTTTTGAACTTGAAAAACCTAAAAATCGATTTCTACGCCTTTGAAAACCTAGAAAAAAAGTTAAAAATCAAGAAAAAACGATATTTTTAAAATTTTGCATGAGTGGCCTAGTGGGTTTTTGGATGTGAAAATCTACTAATCTCAACACCAGAGTTCGATTCCTCTTGGCTTCGAACTTTTTTTGCTTATTTTCTGAGTACTTTTTAGTGGTTCTAGAATCTTTTAGATTTCATTTTCAGATGTTTCTGAAATTCCGGAAAAATTTTTTTCAGCAATTTTTCAATTGCTGAAGTTTCAATTTTTCACGTGAAGCTTTTTTTCCAAACATTTTTCTAGATTGACAGATCCACGAAATTGAAATAAGAAATTAAAAAATCTGAAATTTTCAAAAAATTTCAGCAATTTCTGAAAAAATGGACATAAAATTCAAGGCGCGCTCACTATGGAACACGTGTAAAGAATTGACGATTCGGTGTACGAAATCGCTGAAAAATGGTGAGAATTTGATCTAAACTTTCAAAGATTGTCAGAAAAAAAAAGATTCCAATAGAAATTTTTTTTCGAAAAATTTCAGAAAAATCTGAAAATGACATCTAGAAGCTTCTAGAACCAATAAAACATGTTTAAAACAGAAGCAAAAAGAGTTTGACGTCAAGTGGAATCGAACTCTGGCGTTGAGATTAATAAATTTTCTTGTCCGAAAACCCACTAGGCCATCCATGCAATTTTTTGTAAAACTCGTTTTTTCTTGGTTTTTATTCGTTTTTTCTAGGTTTTCAAGAGCTTAGAAATCGATTTTAATGTTTTTGAGTTTGGATAATCCTGAAAATTAAGAAAAAATTTTTTTTTTGGAAAATGTCTTTTTTTCAAAACTCCTAAATTTTCAGGAATCCGATTCTCTGAAATGTACGAAATGGTCCCATGGACCCCAAAATCAATGGAATACATCCTCGTCTTTGTCCTCTTCCATATCTACCTACTGTATATTTTGATTTTCTGCGTTTCTCTGGAAATTTCCAGAAATTTCCGTCTGAAATCCTCGGGAATCGCTCCGATCACCGGACAGATCAAAGAGAAAATATCGATTTTCTTGACCTACTTTTTTGTTTTTCAATCGGTTTCCCGGTTGACGTTTGGCGCCGCCACGTGGCACCGATTCGTCGGATGGGCGTGTCAAGTGAAGCCACAAATCAATTTTAAGCCTCAAATCGTGAGTTTTCGATGTTGAAAAGTGGGAAAATCGATTTTCCAGCCAAATTTTGGTCGAGAAAAGTTGAAAATTCACATCTTTTCATATTTTCAAAATTTTGAATTTTTTCAAAAAATTCCAAAATTTTGGATTTTTTTTTCAAAAAATTTGGTTTTTCAATTTTAGCTGAATTTGAGTTTTCTAGACCCGAATTTTATGAGAAATCCAAAAATCTTATTTATTTTCATCCCAATTTCAGTTTTCCAGACGAAAATTCGATTTTTCAGACAAAAGTTGGATTTTTGAAAAAAATTTCAGATTTTCAAATGTCGCATATTTTTAGTCAAATTTTTGTTGTTTGTAGACCCAAATTTTATGAAAAAGCCAAAAATTTTATTTTTTCAACCCAAAACCTTCCAGAAACTCGGAAAAAGCAAATCATCAGAATCAGTGATTTCTGTCAAGAATGCCTCAAAAATCGATACTTCGATTGGACTAGGTATGGAATCTGAAGATGAGGAAACTCGAAAATCCATCAAAAAATTGGGAAAAATCAAGAAAAGTGTGGATTTTGCAACGGATCTGACTGATGCTGTAATTATGGGGTAATTAGGGATTTTTGAAATTTTTGGGGAAAATTTTTTTAAATTTTTCTCAAATTTTCTAGCAAGGAAGAACCTGAAGACTCAATTTGTATGGTTCAAAAATGGTTGGAGGATTCTGAATCGTTGAATTCTGAAGACGTCAGAATTCATGTTCAGAAGTTGATGGAGGAGAATGAGAAAATGAAAAAGGTATTTTTAGAATTTTGGCTTCATTAATCAATTCAAAAAGTTTCAGCAAACTTCTATGATCAGTGAAACTGGAGCATAATTGAACTTTTTTAAAACATTCCTTGTGTTTCAAGAGAGAAATAAATACTTTTTTTTAAAGTTTATTATTCAAATAACTTGGTCCAGAGTCAAAATACAATTTTGAAAATATGCTAAATCGATTCGGAATTAAATTTTAAGTCATATACGAAAAAGCAAAAAAAGAACAAAAAGCTTCTTCCGTTGCGGGGAATCGAACCCCGGCCTTATGGGTGAGAGCCATAAATCCTAACCACTAGACCACAACGGAGCGTGGAGGAGAGGGGAGTGGAGGGCGTACACATGAGAGGGGGAAACGGGGGAAATGAGATAGCGAGAGAAGGAGGAGGGGGGAGATTTGAAGGAATGATAAACGAGTTATAGAATAATGGAATGGCTGTAACTAGGCTGAAAACTGTCATAGAGAGCTGAAAATAAGCTGAACTTATAGGGAATTTAATTTTACATCGGATATGGTGTAACAATCCCGAACGAGGACTATATTATGGGAAGGAGCTGGAAAACTGTGAAATAGGTGGTATGTGATGGAGGTAATTAGCTATGACTTGGCTACCGGACTTAAAAGACTAAACATTATGTCAATCAATAGAGAATCAAATTTTACATCCGAAAAACTGCTGGAAACTCAATCTAGCTTAATTTGAAAGCTTAAACAACGAAAAACTTCCACAAAACCGCTTTACCGAAAGAAGCGAAACTAATAACCGCCTTCTGTCCATCGGCTTCTCGTTGAACCTCGAAATTTCCACTGACTTGAAAAATCTTTCCCCAAAATGTGCCATGTGGAACATTTTCGCATGTCCAACCATTTGGCAATTGTTGATACAGTAATCCGTCGAGAATTCTCTCCTGAAAATTTTCTTCAACATCTCTCGAACCGGAATGGATAACGATTGTTTTGAATTTGGGATTGGCTTCTGATTTGATCCATTTTTCGATGAATCCTCGGAATTGCTGAGTGTTTAGAGGCAGGTTTCGTCGAGTAGGACGAATCGTAAGGCTGATTTCCGTATTGATTGCTTTGAGATCCAGTAGATCAATTTGTGAAAGACGTTGTAAGATTAAAGTTTCATACTCAGACTGCAAAACGTTGTCTCGAAATTCTTGATACGAATCGTAAGGATTTCTAGACATCAAAAGCGTTTTAGACGGGAGCAGAAAGTCCAGCATATTCCTGATATAAGAATTCTCCTCCTCTCTATTTGAGCCATCGCAATAGGTTACAGTGTGAATTGGGAATCCATCGAAAACGCTTCGAATCGCATCCAATGGGGTTTTTGATTCAGGGTTGAGGCGGATTGTGAGCTCTTTATTATGGTAAATCTCACACAGATGCACGAATGCCTCCCGAGCGCTCAGCCCGAAATTGATGGGCGTTGCGTAGCCACTGCGCTGCGGATCGATGTCATTATCCACCAATTTGATGATATATCGTGCACTTTCCCGACCCACGATCTCATCTCCAATGTTTACAGTAATCCAATTCAAATTGTCCAGTTGGATTGAGATTCTAGGTATTTGGTTGAGACTTTTGACGAGTTTGAAACTTTCTTTCGAGCAGTGCGAGAAGGCGATTCTGGAAATAGACTGTAAAATACTTGTATCTCGATTAGTTTTAAAGAAACATTTTCAAAAAAGTAAATTCTAGGAAATTTGGTGTTTTACAATATTGTAGTTGACAATTTTTGTGCATCCAGCTTGATTTTCGATACATGCGCCTTTAAAGTCAACCACCCATAAGGAGAAGGAAGACGCTAACTTTAAAGGCGCATATCTCAATAACGAAAAAAGCTCAAACTGTTTTACATTTTATGAATATATGTAAAATTTTAAGCCCTACATTTTTGCAATTAGCCTTTTTTGTGTAACTAGCTTCGTTTTCGAGATATGCGCCTTTAAAGTCAACCACCCATAAGGAGAAGGCAGGCGCTATTGTCGGATTAAAAAAAGTGACACCTGAAAATCTCGGAGACGGCGCTCGTGTCGATTTACGAGGGGGCGGAGCGAAAACGGATACTGTAGATAACAAATTAATTTATGTGAATTTAGTGTGATTTTCTGAACAAAATTTTGATTTCTTGATATAAAAATCGCTAGCATCTCTAGAATCTATTTTTCATCAAAAAACTAAAATTAAACACGAAAGTAGCTCGAATGAGCCGAAATTCTGAAATATTACGTTTTGCCGCACTTTTTCGTAGATCAAAAAAGGCAAAAGTTTTTAAATTCTCAGGTGTCACTTTTTTTTAATTCGACAATAATTTTAATGGCGCATATCTCAATAACGAAAAAAGCTCAAACTATTTCACTTTTTATGAATATATGTGAAACTTTAAGCCCTACATTTTTGCAATAAGCCTTTTTTGTGTAGCTAGTTTTTTTTTGAGATATGCGCCTTTAAGTTAGCGCGCCTCTGATCCCCGCTCCTGAAGGAAGTAAAAGGGGTGCAAACTTTAAAGGCGCATATCTCAAAAACGAAAAAAGCTAGAACAGATTTTTTGGCTATAAAAATTTGAAGAGTTTCATGCTCTACATTTTTGGAATTGACAAAATTTTGATATCTATTAAAAGAAACGAGATATATGGGTTCAAAGTTGACGGCTTGGTGGGCGTTCTATGTTTACGCTACCTCCACTTTAAGCTCGATTAACTTAACATCCGTTAGAGACATGAAAAACCGGTTAACTACAAAAATGTTAAAGAGAGCATGACAAACATTTTATCAGTTGACAAAACATCGATATCTCTCAAAGGAACCGAGGTAAATGAGCTCCAGCTGCGACAGCTATGTGGTCTTTAAGCCCTTTGATCTAGAGCTCCAAACTATACTAACCAAACTAACTTGTTTTTTTTTTTGAAAAAAATAAACTCGACTCACTGTTTCTTAAAATCCCAATGAGAGATCATTCGCCGCCGACACCAATAATCAAGATCCATTAGTCGAAAATCGGGCTTCGGTGCATTTTCGTCTCTCGCAGGTTCAGCCATACTGTAAACCTGGAAAATTCCTATTATTAAAACAATTTTCTACGGAAAAATCTATAAGTATAGACCTAAAAAAGAGAACGAGATTCAAATAAGGAATGAGCGCGCGCGCGAAGAGGAGGAAGAGTTGGAGACGCAGACATATGGAGAGGGGGGTCCCAAGGAAAATGGGAAAATGTATAGGGGACTGTCTAAGGAGCAGAATGATCGTAATAGGGGGCGGGGCGTATCAGGGGGGAAGAAGAATGCGTCATAGGAACGCGAGAGAGAACGTTAAGATAGAAGAGGTGTCGCGTGAGTGCAGTTGGGACGAGAACGTTAAGACTGAGCAATGTGGTATAGAGAACAATGGGTGGTACCAGGGATGAGAATAAAACGAAGGTGAAGAAGAGGATTACTGTACTTCAGAAAGGACCGTACATAGTTGAGAAGAGATTTGTGGCCTGTTTTTAAATGAACGAGAATGGGACTTTTCGAAGGTCCCTGCAATCTCTGTGGATGTCAAAATAATCTAAAAACCTGAACGAAAAAAAAATCATTGAAACATTTATTTGAGATTACATGAGGCATTCCTGAATGGTTGTAGTTACAAAGAACTTTTTTCAATATAACTTGGTCCAGAGTCATCCTAGACGCTTGAAAATGCTTGTAATCGATTGAAAATTGAATTTTAAGTCATTTATGAAAAAGCAAAAAGCTTCTTCCGTTGCGGGGAATCGAACCCCGGCCTTATGGGTGAGAGCCATAAATCCTAACCACTAGACCACAACGGAGCGTGGAGGAGAGCGGAGTGGAGGGAGTACACATGAGAGGGGGAATGTGGAGTGTACGAGAGATTTCGAGATGGAGGAGGGGAAGATTTGAAGGAATGATAAACGAGTTATAGAATATTGGAATGGCTGTAACTAGGCTGAAAACTGTCATAGAGAGCTTAAAATAAGCTGAACTTATAGGGAATTTAATTTTACATCGGATATGGTATAAAAATCCGAACGAGGACTATATTATGGGAAGGAGCTGGAAAACTGTGAAATAGGTGGTATGTGATGGAGGTAATTAGCTATGACTTGGCTAAAAATAGTCCTAGAGATCTGAAAATCAGCTGAACCGATAGGGAGTTGAATTTCATATCAGGTAAGGTTTGAACAACACAAAACTTCCTTAAAACCACTTTGGCAAATGATTGTAAGCAAATAACCGACTTCTGTCCATCGGCTTCTTGCTGCACCTCGAAGATTCCATTGACATGTGCAGGCATACACCATAAAGTGAACTTGGGAACATTTTTGTACTTCCAATCATTCGGCAATCGTTTAAACAGTAAGCCGTCGAGAATTTTTTTCTGGTAGTTCTCTTCAATTCCTCTTGCGCCGGAATGAATAAGGATTGTTTTGAATTTGGGATTGGCTTCTGATTTGATCCATTTTCTAATGAATCCTTGGAAGTGTTGGGTGGTTACAGCTGTTCTTCCTTCAAGAGGAGAAGTATCGATGCTAATTTCAGTATAGATTGATTTGAGATCCTATAACGTTTATTTAGATAAAAAATGCTTGTAATCGATTGAAAATTGAATTTTAAGTAATACACAAAAAGGCAAAAAAGAACAAAAAGCTTCTTCCGTTGCGGGGAATCGAACCCCGGCCTTATGGGTGAGAGCCATAAATCCTAACCACTAGACCACAACGGAGCGTGGAGGGGAGCGGAGTGGAGGGAGTACACATGAGGGGGAATGTGGAGTGTGCGAGAGAGTTTGAGATGGAGGAGGGGAAGATTTGAAGGAATGATAAACGAGTTATAGAATATTGGAATGGCTGCAACTAAGCTGGAAATGTTCATAGAGAGCTGAAAATAAGCTGAACCGATAGGGAATTAAGTTTTACATAAGATAGAGTGCTGGGAACTTAGTTTCGCCTATTAAAAAGAAAAGAAAAAAGGAGAAAATTATACTGAGTCTATTCTTTTCATTCAAATTGTAATAACTTAGCTTAAATTAGTCTTAGATAACTGCAAACATGAAAGGCAAAAGTTAAGCAACAAAAAATTTCCATAAAACCACTTTGGCAAATGATTGGAAGCAAACAACCGCCTTCTGTCCATCGGCTTCTCGCTGGACCTCGTAGATTCCATTATCAGTCATATATTCCCTCGAAAACGGGCCTCTTGGAAAACTTTCGCATGTCCAATCATTTGGCAATTGTTGATACAGTAATCCGTCGAGTATTTTTTCCTGATAATACTCTTCAACCTCTCTTGAATCGGCATGGATAACGATTGTTTTGAATTTGGGATTGGCTTCTGATTTGATCCATTTTTCGACGAATCCTTGGAATTGTTGAGTAGTTAAACGCCGTCGTCTTTGGAAAGGAGGACTCTTCAGGTTAATTTCAATATTGATTGATTTGAGATCTAGTAGATCAATTTGTTTGGGATATTTTGAGACCAAAGTTTCATACTCGAACTGCAAAATTGGGTCTCGAAATTCTTGATACGAATCGTACGGATTTTCGGAAATTAGGAGCGTTTTGGACGGAAGCAAGAATTCCAGCATATCCTCCATATAATCCCTTTCATCATCTATTCGTGCCATCGCAATAAATAATTTCCTGAATTGGAAATCCATGAATAACGTTTCTAAAAGCATCAAATGGAGTTATCGAGTAACGATTGAGACGGACAGTTAGCTCTTTGTGGTGGTACATCTCACATAAATGGACGAATGCGTCACGAGCGTTCAAACCGAAATTGATGGGCGTTGCGTAGCCAGGGTAAGCAATATCCTCGTCCACCAATTTAATCAAACATGTTAAATTGCCAACGTCTACAGTAATCCAATTCCAATTTTCCAGTCTGATTGAGATTCTGGGCTTTTGGTTGAGACTTTTGACGAGTTTGAAACTTTCTTTCGAGCAGTGCGAGAAGGCGATTCTGCGAAATTTTGAAATTTTGGAGTCACTAAAGAATCTGGTGAGTTTAATCTATAGTGAATATGTATTTTCCAGCAGCAAACCTGGTTTTTGAGATATGCGCCTTTAAAGTTGGCCCGACTTCTTGGCCGGCGCCGAGGATGGGAGAACGCCAACTTTGAAGGCGCATATCTTTGGAAGGAAGTTAGGTACACAAAAATTCTTAATTATAGAAATATATAAAATTTTATGCTCTACATTTTTACAATTAACCAATTTTTAGTATTGCTTATGGTTCTCTAGTTATTCGCTTTTAAAGATAACCTATTTCTTCTTGGTGAGAGAAGAGACGGTGACAACTAGGTAGAACTTCAAGATCAATTATCTCGGTTCCTACAAGAGTTATCTGTACACTGATAAAATATTGTTGATATTATGACACACATTTTATCAGTTGACAAAAGTTTGATATCTTATAAAAGAACCGAGATAATTGAGCTCAAAATCCAAAGCGTCGGTTGTGACCGCATAGATCAGCGATGCAGCCCTTCAAGCTAGCGAATAGGTCTATTTTTCAAAGTTTCTTCCTCAAAAACTCGACTCACTGTTTTTTAATATCCCAATGAGAGATCATTTGCAGCCGACACCAAAAATTGAGATCCATTAGTCGAAAATCGGGCTTCGGTTTCTCATTTCTAACAGGATCAGCCATTTTTTAGCCTGGAAAATCCTGGTTTCTGTGAGAATTTTAAGGAGAAAAAATGAGAAAAAAAAGACTTGAAACTAAAAAAAACTATTTTCTCCGGAAAAGTCTGGGAAGATCCACCTGAACCATACACGTCTCATATGTGGATAGTGTGTGTAACACAGAAAGAGAGATTGGAGACCTAGACGACCCTATCCATGCACTTTGAGCTTAATTATCTCGGTTTCTAAAAGAGATATCGAAAAGTGGTCAACTGATAAAATGTTTATCATAATATCAGCAATATTTTATTAGTTGACAGTTTTATTGTGTCTTTCACAGGAACAGAGATAATTAAGCTCAAATGCGCGTAAAGGAGAAAATGAGGTTTATGCGCTTTGTGGCAAATTATCTCGGTTCCTATGAAAGATGTCAAAAATGTACCAACTGATAAATTATTAATGATATCATGAAAAATATTTTATCAGTTGACAGATTTTTGATATCTCTTATAGGAACCGAGAAAAATAAATCTGAACAAAAAAAATCGCTGAACAATTTATTTGAGATTACAAGTAATACAAAAGGCATTTCCTGAATGGGTGTAGTAATAAAAAAGGCAGTGAGGCACACAATACAAAATACAAAATGCTTGAATCTATCTTCTGCGAACAGTTCCATCCTCGAAGAACACTCCTCCATCGATGGCACAGTATTTCGGGCACACTCCACGGTTTCCGGCTCCTCCCGATTGTCCTGGACGTCCTGGTTGTCCTGGATGTCCATCTGGTCCTGGCCGTCCTGGCTGTCCTGGTGCTCCCTTTGGTCCTGCTGGTCCTGGACGACCGCCTCCCGAGGATCCTGGCTGTCCGGCGGGTCCTGGAGCTCCACGTGGTCCTGGTAGTCCTGGGGGAGCGACACCTCCTCCGTATCCATGAGCATCTTGCCCTGGCTGTCCTGGTGCTCCTGGTTTTCCATCGTTTCCTGGCTGTCCGCGTGGTCCCTTTGGTCCTGGTGGTCCTGGTCTGGAAGAACCTCCTCCGGTGGCTGGTCGTCCTGGTTGCCCATCGGATCCTGGACGTCCTGGTGGTCCTGGTGGTCCTGGTCGTCCTCCTGGGCATGGCTTGCATGGAGTTGGCACCACTGGGTGGCATGGTCCGCTTCCTCCCTTTCCTGGGTTCCCTGGCATTCCCCAGGCTCCTGGTGCTCCTGGACGTCCTGGCTTTCCTGGTGCTCCGGAGGCTCCTGGTGCTCCTGGACGGCAGCAAGTGGAGCAAGATCCTCCACCTCCACCACCGCCTCCTCCGATTGGTGGCTGGGCATAACCACCTCCGTATCCAGCATGACGAGCGTTACGGGTGGAGTTTTGGTTGGATCCAGCGGATGCGCGAAGGTGGTTCACTTCGGTGAAGACCTCATCGGCAGAGTGTTTACAGAAGGAGACCTCCTGCGAGAGGCGGACACGCATGCCAGCGACATAGTTGTGAACCATTGGTAGGGTGATGCATACCTGGAATTTTTGAGATCGTCAGACTTCTAGGTATCGAGGAAAGTCTAGTTTTGTTAGCTCTATTTCGCGGAGGAGATTTTAGACGTCTAGCTTCTAAAATATTCTTGCTAAGCATCGCAAGCTATCGATTGAAGCAGTGTCTAGTGTAAAATTTTTCGCTCTTTTTAATGATGGTAGTTTCATTGCTATGAAGCTATTGGTTCCTGTTATAGACTCTGAAATCTGAAGATCAAGGCAGTTGAAACGTTCTACTCTGGAAGGTTTCTTAAAGCTAATCCAAAGAGCAGTACCGCCTGGACTAGTGTAGGCTTTGCTAACTGAAGCTCAGCTAGTTTAAGCGTAGCTGGCTTAGGCTTAGCTACTAGCTTTAGGTATACTAGCCAGACAGACATTTACCGCGTAGCTAGCAAATTCTACAGTAACCTACACGGTCATCTAGCTTAAACTACGAACAATGAAGCCTAGGGCAGCCAGGAACCTTTGAAGGCCTTCTACCTCAAACTAGATCAATTCGAACTCTAAAGCTCCAGGAAACCTAAAAGCGCGTAGCTCAAGAGCTTAATAAAGCGCAGATAACTCACCGAAACCACTGAAAGAACACAGAAGGCGACGGCGGAGAAGGCGACCAGCCGGTATGCCTTTAGCCTCACGTCAATGTCCATCTTCAGAGAATCTTCAGTCGAGACTACTGTCTTCCTAAGGTCTCCAAACGAGGTTTTTATACCCGTCGTCCGGCAGAAAACCGTTTTTTCGGTTAGCGTGCTAAACGGAAGAAACTCTGCGTCTCTCGTTTCCCGGTGCTATTTTGTGATTTCAGGTCTCCACCCCGAATTGAGTGTCTTGGGGGAGGGGACAAAGTCATGGTCACCAAAGGAGAAGAAAATAGAGATAGGGAAAAACAGTTCGATGTTTTTAGGTAAACAGATTTGATACAGATAATGTCGTCAAAAAGAAGAAGAAAAGAAGGATATGGAGAAGAGGAGAAGAACACAGAAGAATCTATTTTTCTGGCCTTCTTTGCATTTTTTGGAAAAAGTAGTTAATTGGTCAAAGAAGTTAATTAACTTCCAATGATTTTTGACGCCTTTTTGTCTTGTTCCTAATGCATCTAATCTTCCTTGGAACACTTATTTTTTCCGCCTTTAAAATATTCAACCTTGACCATTCGGTTCTTCTTTATTGGATCTCTTTAGGCACGTTTTGTAAAGATGTTGGGGTACGGTAGAGGTGCCCATAACTTCCTTCAAAGTCAAGAGAGATTTACATGATTTACATTGTTTTGTAGGGAATTTCAAGGGCTTTCTAATGATATTAAATTCTTCAAAACATCGCTTTAAAAAGCTCTTAAAATGGGCGTTGAGCACATATGATGCTTAGTAGGTAGGGCTCGGATGAGCGAAGCTTAAAACTGAAAGGCCCATAACTCCTCTAAAAATCAATCAAAATTTACAAAATTATATTATTTTGTAGAGCATTTTTAGAGCTTTCTTATGATATAAATTTTTATCAAATATTTTGTTTAAAAGATTCTAAAAATGGGTGATAAGCACGTATGGCACATTTCGTGCATCCAACAAAGTTTAACGGCGCATAACTTCCTTGTAAATCAACACAACTGCAGAAAAGTTATACTAAATGGTAGAAAATCTTATGAGCTTTCAAAACATATACAACACTAAAATGTTTAACTTCAAAACTACATTGGAAACCTAGAACAAAACCGTTAACCATAAATTTTGATTTTTTTAAAAGTTTTAAGGCGCATAACTTCCTTCAAAATCAGCGAAAACTCATTAAAGCTATACCAAATTGTATGGGGTTCCAAAAGATATAAAACGGCAAATTGAACACAATCATTAAAGTTTTTAAAACGAGCGCTAAGTATATACTTTCGGCAAAATCAAATATTAAAGTTTAAAGATACATAACTCCCTTCAAAATTTGCCTAGACCAATGAAAAATATATGAAAATATAGGAAATTTAAAGCGCTTTAAAATCATATAAAATTTTTAAACTCATATTTCAGAATATGCTAAAAATCGTCCATGACTACCACCAACAAAAACATTTTTACAACGACACCAACTGGAATTGCCTCTCGCTCCCTTAACACACCCCGCTTTTCCCCTCACTTGTGTACGCCCTCCACCTCTCTCACCTCCACGCTCCGTTGTGGTCTAGTGGTTAGGATTTATGGCTCTCACCCATAAGGCCGGGGTTCAATTCCCCGCAACGGAATAAGCTATTTTAACCTTTTTGCTTTATTTTTCTATATGTAAAATTTGATTTCCAATTGATTGAGCTTACTTTCAGAAGTCTTGCTCAAAATCTAGCAGAGTTACAGGGCATTTGGCGACGATTTTTTTGTTATGACTCATCTGTGTCATCTGAATTCTTATAAAAATTATTTTATAGTATTCTTTTTTTCTGCAAGTTCTTCGAACCTTTCCAAAAAACAAGAAACCTGCAAAAAAGAATTCCATACGGAACATTGATTCGAGTCAAGCAAGACCTGTCACTTTAGTTGCCTTCGAACTGACCTTCGCCAAACAAGTCAAATTATGTGACAAGTCATTTTTTCAAGGAGATGGAAGAGACAGATAGGGATGATAAAATGTATTTTTTTGTGAGAAAAGGACACATGATTTGGATTTCCTCTCTTTTTTTGGAAGCAGAAGGCAGCTATAGGAATTAGCGGGTGTGATCTTTGCTGTTTGGGTTTGTTGGGACAGAAAATTCGAAAAATATGACATCAAAAAACAAAACTTTTTGGTTTGGTGATACCTAGAATTCATGGTAACTTTATAAGAAACTTTAAAGCGAATTTGATGGCTATGCTAGAAAATATCATTTTTCAGAACTTCAAAATTTAGGTTTTCAGGATTTTAACAAGTTCAATTTCTAATTGATTGAAACACTTTTCAGAGTTCTACGATGATTTTGAACAAAGTTATGAGCGAATTTCCAATTTCCATGTTTTGAAGAGTTGCAACCAATATTGCTCAGATTTCCGTACATTTTACCCTGTCAAATTGAGTATTGGCATTTGTGAAATTTACTTTCCAATCGATCAACATACTTTTCAGCTTTGTACAATGAGTTTGAGCAAAGTTATGGGCAAATTTCCATCTGATAATATTCCAGCTTACAACCTCATATGCTTCCCCTCCTCTCCCCTCTCCCCTTGCCACCCCCGCTTTTACCCACCCTTGTGTACGCCCTCCACTCCCCTCTTCCCCACGCTCCGTTGTGGTCTAGTGGTTAGGATTTATGGCTCTCACCCATAAGGCCGGGGTTCGATTCCCCGCAACGGAATAAGGTTTTTTTCCTTTTCGCTTCATGTTTCTAGATGTAAAATTTGATTTGCAATCGATTGGAAGCATTTTCAATGGTCTAGAGTGATGTTTAGCAAAGTTGTAGAGCGCTTCTTCTTTCCAAAGCCAAAATAAGTCTTCCAAAACATTTAAAAATTCCCATCTGATAAGCTTCATAATGACCTTAAAGTTTTTCGAACCGACCAATCAACAACGGAATTTCGGTGTCCGAAAACCGATACGTCTCACAAAAAGAAGTATTTGATGATGACCGGCAAGAAAGGCAAGAAAAAAACTTGGAAGAAAAAGGAAAAAAAAGAAGAATTTGAAAAACTGGTTACGACCGGACACAAGACATGAACATCATGGCTAAATTGTTTATTTCGACTATATTGAAGAGAAACGGAAAATGAAACGAATTTTGCTAACTAATTTGAGGAGTCACACACTTGGAAAGGGGAAAAGATGTGATTTTTGTGATTTTTGTACTTTGAATTTGGTTTTTTTAAAGCTTTTTCTGAAGGAGTACTAGCATTTTGAATGTTTTAGAGAAGTATAGAATTTGGAATTTTCAAGAACTACAATTATTTATACGTTTAAAGGCAATCGGGGACATTTTGCCGGTTTATGACTTTGAGCTCCAATATCTCGGAGAGATATCAAAAAACACTGTCAACTAACAAAAAATTTGTGATAATATGATAAATATTTTATCAGTTGAAAGATTTTTGATATCTCTTATAGGGACCGAGATAATTGAGCTCAAATGATTGTATAGGAAGGCCTGCAATCAGAGCAGCGTCAAATTTGAGCTCAATTATCTCGGTTACTGTAAGATATATTAAAAAAACAAAAATTTGTCATTTTTCACATTTTTCACCTTTTCCACTTCCTCCAAAAATAGTCGGCCGCTTCATAAGACCCTCCTATATAAACAAATGTCTCTTTTTCCATTTTCAATCAGTCCGGAGTCTTTGGGGGTTATCGTTTATATTCCGCCTGGGTTGCTAAATCTTTAGTTAAATCCTCCTGGAACAACACACCACCCCATCGACAAAAACTTGACTGGAAAAGTTTTTTTTTTAATTTGTGAAAAATCATTTTGACTTATTTTCCTCAGTGGAATAGACGTTTGTATCCTTTTTACTGTTTTCCCTGAAAAAATGCTCCATAACTCGGCTAAACATCACTCTAGACCATTGAGAATGCTTCCAATCGATTGGAAATCAAATTTTACATCTAGAAAAACAAAGCAAAAAGAAATAAAAAACTTATTCCGTTGCGGGGAATCGAACCCCGGCCTTATGGGTGAGAGCCATAAATCCTAACCACTAGACCACAACGGAGCGTGAGAGGAAAGGAGTGGAGGGCGTACACAAGGGAGGGGGAAGAAGGGGTGAGAGGGAGCGAAAAGAGAGAGAGGGGGGGGGGGGTGGCAGAAAAATTAGTGGTATGATGTTTATTGAAGAAATTGCTCATATCTGTGTTCAAAACTATTGTAGAACGCTGAAACTAGTTTTGATAAACTGGAAATTCAATTTCACATATGCCAATATTAAATTTGACTAGGTAAACTTAACGGAACCCTGAAAAATACTGGTTGCAAATTTTGAAGCCTTATTTAGTTGAAATTTGCTCATAACTTTGTTCAAAACTATAGTAGAAGACTGCAAATAGTTTCAATGGATTCAAAATTCTATTTTACAGAGGATGGTATGCATTGTGACCGGGTAACATTGACGGAAATTGGAGAAATATTGGTTGCAAATTTTATAACTTCATTCGATTGAAACAAGCTCATAACTTCCTTCGTAGAACACTAGAAACCTTTTAATCAATACTTTTCGAGACCTGAAATTTGTTTTTTTTGTTTATTACATGTTCATTACACAATCCATGTTTATTAGGTAAAAACGGAAGTAGATTTTTAACCCTGAAAATCTAGGTCAATCTTTTTTTTATTTTAAGGAAGGATATTCCGAAACCGTATAACTTTATACAGTGAAACCGATTCCTTCATTTTCTTCTCTGCCTTCTTCCACTCCATCGGTCAAGGAAGTTGATTCCATTCCAAGCAAAAAAAAGAGATAGAGAATTGAAGGACACATCTCCTTATAATGGTCGTTGAGACTTTGGATGGGAGTAAACAAGGTAATGGGAAGTAGTTTCTGCGGTTTCGGATAGTACTCGAGACTGTTTAGTGAAAGTTTAACTGAAGACTTTCTAATTTGATTTGAAAAAATTTTCCGAATTTTCAGGCAGGAAAACTGGTAAAATTGACTTTTCTACACTCCAAAACACATCAGAAACCCTATTGACCATTAAAAAGAGTATGAAAAGGCTGAAAAAGAAACCAAAAACGCAATTGCCCCCAGGCGGGATTGAACCGCCGACCTTCTGTTTACGAGACAGACGCTCTGCCACTGAGCTATACGGGCACACGGAAACGAAGTCCTCGTAAGGCGTAGAAGAGAGCGCGGGGAGTTAGAGGAAGAAGGTCAGAGGGGGATGAGAAAGGAGAGTGTACTCTTTTTTGGGGAAAATGGGAAAGGGAAAATTTCAACATTTGGAATTAAAGAAAACTAAAAAAGTTATGTTTACACATTGTCTTGTTGTCTTATCAAACAAAAAGTTATCATTTTCTTCATTTTTTGCCTTTTTCACTTCCTCCAAAGAAAGTCGGCCGCTTCATAAGACCCTCCTATATAAACAAATGTCTCTTTTTCCATTTCCAATCAGTCCGGAGTCTTTGGGTTATCGTTTATATTCCGCCTGGGTTACTAAATCTTTAGTTAAACCCTCTGGAACAACACACCACCCCATTGACATCAACTTGACTGAAAAAGTTTTCAGATCTCTCTTTTTTTCGGAAGGCTCCAGAAGACGTCAAAAGTGACATTTTTTCAAAATTCAAATTGTTATAAAAATTAGCATAGAATTTCCTATTTAACGATATAAAAATCATAAAAATTGGTTTAGTGGAAGCTGATATACCAAAACGTATAATGCACGTCTAAACTCTAAATGGCTTATTCAGAATTCTTCAGAAAACGTAAAAATTAGAATTTACTGAAAAAATAGAATATTGTTCTTGGAATTTTTTATATAAACCATGAATCTTGGCTCGTTGGAAGCTGAGATACACAACAAAACGTATAATGATCGCTTCAACTGCACATCACTCGTTCAGAAGGTTTCAGAAGACGTCAAATATAGAATTTTCTGAAAGTTCAAAATAATATATCAATTTTCAAAAAATGTTCTATCTACCGGTATCAAAACCTTAAAAACTGGCTGAGTGGAAACTGAGATATGGGGCAAACCTTTTTGCAAGTGTGTATATGGCTTATTCAAAAGGGACCTGAAGACGTCAAAATTATAATCTTTCAATAAATCAAGATATTGTTACATTTGCCATAAAATTTCCAGACTAACAGTATAAAAACCAGGAAAATTGATTTAGTGGAAGCTGAGATACAAAGCAAAATCTATCATAAGCGCTTCAACTGTACCTGGCTTATTCAGAAGGCTCCAGAAGACGTAAAACAAGATTTTTTTTAAAAACATCAAAATATTAAAGTTGTTGTAAAATTCTCTATCTCACGGTGTATAAACCATTGGAAACGGCCCAGTGGGAGCTGAGATACGGGGCAAAACTTTTTGCGAGCGCCGAAAATGTATATGGCTCATTCAAAAGAGACCTGAAGGCGTCAAAATCAGAATTTTCTGAAACATCAAAATATTATAAAGATCAACATAAAATTTCCTATCTATCAGTACAAAAACCATAACAATTGATTAAGTGAGAGCTGAGATATGGGGGCTTTTTTCAACATGTTCATTTTTAGGCTACTTGGGCTAACTTTCATTGGTTTTTAAAACTTTTTTTCTACTTTCAATAAATTCAAATTTTCAAATTTTCCCGCCAAAAAAGACTCTTGTAGTTCTTTTTTTTTCCGTTTCTCACTAAATTATGTCCTTCGGGTGTGACCTGATTGTATTATGTAATGACTGTTATTCCCCACGTCTTCTTCTTCTTCTTCTTCTTCTTCTCTCCATCTTCTGACATCATTTAGAATTCGTTAAACTGACAGGAAAAGATTGGAAAACGGTGATTGTCGGTCGGAAGAAATAAGAGAAGACGTTATTGACAAAAAGTTCAAGGAAACAAAAACGGCAAAACGGAAAACAATGAAAAAATTCGGAGGGGGGGGGGGCAACAATTTTCAAAAATTCAGCAATTTTTTGGAACATCTTGAACCAGTCTGGACATCCGGACAAACAGATAGGGACATAAGGCAGGGACAATGCCACTTTTCAGAAGTTTCGAGTGTTTTTCAGCCCACTTTTTCAGAAATTTTATAGAATTTTAGTTCGAATTTGGAACTACTAAAAATGACCAAATTTCTGTACTTCCTATTTGTTTTCATACACATTTCTGAAGAGTTGAAAATCTGGCATAAATCGGATCTTCCACAATTTAGGTTGATTTAGGTTTACCTGAAATTGCGAATGTTCAAGATTTCCAGGTCTAAACAAGTAAATATCCCTGCTACTAAAGGCATAGTGAACTGGAAGAGGAGTTTGGCGTTCGAGAAAGTGACCAAGGATAGAAATGTGTTTTGTAGGGTAAGATAGAAAATTGTATGATCTTCTTTTTTTTAGTCCACCATTTTTTCATAGCTAGGTTGGTTTTCGAGTTATGCGCCTTTAAAGGTAGCGTACCTTTTTGCCCGACGACGAAGGAGAAGGAAACTTCAAAGGCGCATAACTCACATACAAGAATAAATATTTAACAATTTTAAAATGTATCATATGTGAAATTTTATGCTCTAAATTTTTGTAGCTGGCCACTTTTCGATGACTAGCTTAGTTTTCGAGATATACGCTTTTCAAGTTGGCGCGCTCCTCCTTCGCTGGTTAGAAAGCGCGCGCCAACTTTGAAGACGCATTGCTCAAAAACTGCAATAGTTATTGAAATTTCGCCAACAAATAAAGTATGTAAAATTTGAAAGGCTACATTTTAACAACTTATCATTTTTTTGATAGTCAACTTTCTTCTTGAGATATGCGCCTTTAAAATCAGATCGCGCATCTTACCAGCTAGAATGGGTAGCGCGCTAACTTTAAAGGCGCATAACTTTGTTTGAAAATGTGCTAGGGCTACAAAAACTACACCAAAGGTAGGACGTTTTTGCGGCTTCAAAATGATATCAATTTCTGAACAAAAACTAGAGTTGTAATTTTCTGAAAATCGCTATCAAAATCCATCCTCTCTTGACGGTGCGTCAGTCATTTTGAGTTCAATATTTAAAGGGGCATAACTTTTTTCAAATATGTGTGGAATTTAGAAAAAAAACAGACCGATTTGCAGGAAACTTTCCGAGCTTTAAAATAGTATAAAATACTAGACAAAAATTAGGACAGTGATTCTTTGAAAATCGCTATCAAAGTTTAACAAGACATCAAGACAAGCTGAGTCCATTATCTTCAAAAATGTGACAGGATTGCAAAAACTACACCAAACTTCAGTAAATTTTATAAGCTTCAAATTAATATCTAGATCTACGGTCTCTGTGCCCATTACTCATTTGGAATCACGCTTCTGAATGTTCTGGCAAAATGGAAGGACCGAGGAATGATCTACCCATACAAGAAGTTTGATGGAGCCCCAGATTCGAACTTGCCGAGAGAAAAGTTGGAGAGTTTTGTTCGTAAGTAGCTAGAATAGAATCGCCAAGGGATAGAGTACCGAATTTAAGGAACATTCCATAACAGCCGCGCCCAGAGGAATCACCAAATGTCTTGAAACCTTTTCGAATAAAAAACAATTTTTTTTTGTTGAAAAACTCTTCATAAATGTACAGATACACCAAAGAAGACAATGAAAAAAGACAGCACGGATTAACCCGAACTTTTTGGAAAAGGCAACTTTTAAGAGATAAGTTAATAAGAAGCATTGGGTGCTTAACGACGAGTTCCATCCTCAAAGAAGACACCTCCGTCCAAGGCGCAGTATTTCGGACAGATTCCACGCTCTCCTTGTGGTCCTGGCTGTCCTGGTGGTCCCGCTGGTCCACCTTGTCCTGGATGTCCTTGTTGACCTGGTGGACCTGGTGGTCCTTGTGGTCCTGGAGCTCCATCGGATCCCGGGCGACCTGGAAGAATTGATAATAAAACGCTTGATTTATTCCTGACTTCATTAATTTTATGCAACTGAATTTAGCTTAAAAAGAGCTTTAAAATGAGCCTAGACATAAACTGGATGCAATTTGAAGGTGGCAGAACTTCAGGATTTTATAACTTGCTTTGCCTTGGTATAAATTCAATGAAACATAAACAATCAGAATCGGCTTAAAACGCGCTTTAAAGTGAGTATAATCTTGGTTAGGTTCAATGCGCCTTCAAAACTCATTGCTTCCTTTTTAACACCTATTACTTGCTCAGTTTTAGTCTAAACTGAATGAGCTAGATTCTGCGTAAAAAGGGCTCTGAAATGAGTATAATCATGGCTAGGTAACTTCTTAAATTTAAGCATCTATAACTTGCTAAGTTTCGGTCTGAACTCAAGGAAACGTGTACATCTAGATTCAGCTTAAAAGGAGCCTCAAAATAAATATAATCATGCGCCTTTAAGAGCACCCACCGGCTTGTCCTTGATCTCCTGGCAGTCCAGATGGTCCTGGCTCTCCTGGTGCTCCTGGATCTCCTGGCAGAGCTGGCGTCGAGATAGCAGGTCTTCCTTGCTCTCCACGTGGTCCATCTCTTCCACCCTCTCCGTTGTTTCCTGGTGGTCCTGGTGGTCCTTGTGGTCCAACTCCTCCGTCATTTCCATTTCTTCCTGGATGCCCAGATTGTCCTGGATTTCCAGCATCTCCTGGTGGTCCTGGTGGTCCTGGCTCTCCTGGTGGGCATGGTGTGCATGGTGGCTCGGTGATCTCCTCACACACTGCTGGTGGGCGTCCTGGAAATCCAGGGGCTCCTGGAGCTCCTGGCCGTCCTGGTGCTCCGTTCTTTCCTGGTGGACCGTCTGGTCCCGGAAGTCCTGGAAGGCAGCAACCTTGGCAGGCGGCCGCCTCACGCTTCAGACGTGTCGTTTCGTTGGAAGAACGACGGAGGAAGAATGGGAGGTTCTTGTTTGGTGTCTGACGGAAATTGTGCATCTCTAGCATGACGTCGCGAGCGGAGAGCTGAAAATAGCTTTTTTTAGAGACTCCTATTTTAAAAACTAAGCTAGCTATTAATAAATTATTAACTATGAAAATATAGCCCTTTAAATTTCACATATTTTGGTAGTTTGCAAAATTTTGATAGCTATTGTAGTCTTCGAGTTATGCGCCTTTAAAGTTAGCGCTTTCTACCCGGAGGGGAGCGCGCTAATTTTAAAGGCGCACATCTCAAAAACTGAGCTAGCTATCAAAAACTTGCTAATTAAAAAAATGTACCACTTTACATTTTACACATTTTTTCAATTTTTAGATTTAGCTTTGCTCGCTTATTTTTTGAGTTATGCGCCTTTAAAGTTCGCACACCTTTTTGCACGGAGCCAAAGGGAGGGCGCCTATTTAAAGGCGCATAACTTCCTTCAAACTCAACATTTTAAGACAAATAAAAAACGAAAATGGCGGCTTTGACCAGTTCTACAAAAAATTTAGCATACCTTGCAGAACTGCATCTCATCGTGCACACGAAGATGCACCGAGTGGATGTAGTTGTTGACCAGTGGCAGTGTGACAAAAACGCTGACGAGCGCGATCAGCGAGAACGTGACAGCCGAGTAGGCGACGAAACGGAACGCCTTCTCACGTGAATCCTCCTCCATCATGTGCCTTTTTTTGAGAAGCGGGGAAACTTCTGGAAAATTACAAAATTCGAATCGAGGTTCAGGCTCGCATAGAAGAGAATAGAGTAGGTTAAAGGAGCTAAATTTTGAAGGCGCATAACATTTTCAAAAGCCAAGGTACAGTAATCTGATTTACACCAAAGCGTAGGATATCTTAAAAACTTCAAAATTATATACAGTCCTAAAATGATAATCTGATTGAAGTTCTAGAAAAAAGTTTTCAAACCTGACATGATGGGTCGAATTCAAGAAAAGAGGGTCAAAATTTAAAGGCGCATAACTTTTTTTCAAATTTGAGTTAAATTTACAAAAGTTATATCAAATTGTAGGAAATTTTATAAGCTTTCAAATACTATACAACACTTATTAGAAACTTGTACAGGAATTTTTGAAAATCGCAAGTTAAGCTAGCAACGGAAACAGTCGGAGATGAGTAGATTGTTTAAAGACGCATATCTATCTTCAAAATTTAGCTAGAATTTTAAAAACTATATCAATTTGTAGAACATATTATAAGCTTCAAATTGATATATAATACTTATTGAAAATAAAATCTTGGGATATTTGGAAAAGCGCTAGCAAAGTAGCAAGCATTCATAGAAGAGAAAGGTTGATAAAAGTTTAAAGGCGCATAACTTGTTTCAAAGTTAAGCTAGGTTTACAAAAGTCATACAAAATTGTAGGGAGCAAAGTAAAATGCAACACTTTAACAAATAACTTGAAAACTAGTAAGAAACCGTATATCAAAAAAGTTAGCAAGTGAAATTCCTTCTCCTCGAAGTTTAAGCTAGGTAACTCAAAGATAAGTTGGGAGAAGGGTATGAGTTTAGAACTGAAACTTTTGCAAAAAAGTGAATAAGTAAAATTACAAGTTCGTATAGGTATAGAAATATAAAAATAGCAAAAAACTTATCTTTAAAATTGATTTGAAAAAAGTCAAAAAGTCAAATCTCATCCGAGTATTTGAAACCTAAGAAAACCACATAAAAGGGAAAGCAGTGTGTGACGGTTATATCAGAAAATGGCAATGCCAGTGGAGTTTATATATGCGCCCCGTGTCTCTCTACACCGTATTGTACACGGGGCACGACGCCAGCGTCGCCGCGGCAGAAGGAGTAAAAAAAGGGGGCGGGGCTTGTAGGAGGGATGACGCGCAGTGATGAAGAAGACGTGGCAAGTAGAAGCTTCCTTGTGGTTTTTAATAGAATGTCTGGGTTAAAAAAACGGTTGACTAAGAAAAGAGGAAGGGGGGCGGAGTCTTAAGAGGGGTCGAGAGTTTTTCGGAAGACATTTGGAGAAAGTTCTAGAAAAGGGAAAAAGGTAGGGGAAACGGTACTTGATGGTAGTATGCATAAGGGTATGTATAACAGAAACCAATGATCAGAAGAGAAAAATCTGTAATACAAAGGGGGTTATTTTTGGTTGCTGGCAAAAATACTAAAGAGTCATGGACCAGATATTTCCCATTAGATAAATTTCGCCCATGTTGATAGAACGTATTAGGTTTTACGGCAGGTTCATTAAACGATTAGCAATGGGTTGTTTTATATGATTTAAAAGTCCAGAAAATTTCCTATAGTTTAGTTTTAATTTTGGAAATTTAACTCAATTTTGAAGGAATTTATGCGATTTTAAACGTTAATGAATCGACTAATCTTCCAATTTTTCCGTTGCGTTTCTTTGCTAGCGAATTAAAAAACTCCTTTTGTAATTTCTAGCTAGTGCTTCACACCATTTTTAAGCCCATAAAATTTCCTATGGTTTAATATGAAGGTTGTAAATCTAGCTCAATTTTTTAATAAGGTTATGCGTCTTTCAACTTTCAGAAGCCAGAATTTTGATGGTTCATTGTCTTTGGCCTGAGTTATCCAGGTATGTTTGAAGCTGAGAGTGTGAGTATTGCATATAATTCGAAAGGCCATAAAATATCCTATTGTTTCGTATTAACTTTGTATACCAAGCTCAATTTTGAAGGGAGTTATGCGCCTTTAAATATCAAACTGCGTTCAACGCACCGAACACACCTGCTTAAAGCAATTTCCGAGAACTTTGATTTGATGATGGCTACTGTATTTTACATTATTTTAAGGCCCATAAAATTTCCTACATTTTGGTATACTTTTCAATGAATTTAGCTCATTTTGAATCAAGTTATGCGCCTTTGAAAATTGTGCAATATCTCAATGCCCTATTAAAGCTTAGCATATCCAAGATAAGCCTAATTACCCATAATTACCTCATTGGTTTATCATCACCTATTCCAGTTCAGCTAAACGACACGCTTCTTTTTTCTCACAGGTAACAACCATCAATCATCTCTCTCTGTTCTTCTTCCTCTACTCCTTTAACGTCTTATTCTTCTTCTTCTTCTTATTCTTCAACGTCTTCTGTTCATCCGCGCGCGCGGTGCGCAGCGGATCGTCTCGGTCGCCCGACCGCGACCGGTGTATGTTCTAAGATGACACTCAGCTTCTTCTACTTTTTTTGTCTTATTTTGCTACATACAGAGAAGAAAAAGAAGAAGAATTCCTTTATTATTCGGGGGCACTTTGAGGGAGATCGCTAGAAAAAAGTGGGTGGAGGAACAGTTCTCAAGAAGGGGAAATGAGAAAACACAACAGTAATATGTACAGAAAAAAAGAATAGAATGAAAAGGGAAACTCATTTGATGGCAACTGAAAACGGAAAGGGCAACTTTGCCCCGACGAATTTGCCCCTAAGAATAGGGGGAAATTGTTTGGCAGGGTTTGGTGATCCTTTAAAAGAGGTATAGCTTTAAATGTAAACTAGATATCTTTAAAATGTCAACAGATAAAATGTAGATCATGAAATTTCACACATTTTTGTAGTTGACAAAATTTAGATAGCTATCTTGGTTCTTGAGATATGCGCCTTTAAAGATAGCACGCCCCCTTGGCGCAAGGCAAGAAGACCTACCAAATTTAAAGGTGCATAGCTCAAAGCTCAGGGTCGATATCTAAAAAATTTAAAATACAAAAATGTAGATCATAAAATTTCACATATTTTGAAATTTTTAAAATTTTCATAGCATTACTGGTTTTTGAGATATGCGCTTTTAAAGTTGGCGCATCTCTTGTGCCTAGGGGGGAGCGTCAACCCCGGCGCATAGAGGGAAAAACCAACTTCAAAGCCGCATAATACAAAAACGACGGTAGCTATCACAAATGTCTAAACAGGAAACATGTAGATCATAAAAAGTTAAATATTTCGGTAGTTTCAAAATTTTAGTAGCATTTTTAGTTCTTGAGATATGCGCCTTTAAAGTTGGCATACCCGCTTGGCACAAGAGGAAGAGGCGCGCCAACTTTAAAGGCGCATAACTCGAAAACTACGGTAGCTATCAAAAAAGTTCAAACTGCAAAAATAAAGATCAGACATCTTCAAACCCTTTCAATTTATTTTTATTCAACTCCATCTCCAATTTCTCGCGTTCATCCTGCATTCGTCGCCGCATTTCCATTGGCATATTTGGCAGATCTTCGGGCCAGTGTTGGTAGTAGAGCTTCTTGATTCTCTCCGCCTGCGTCTCTTTCTTCTCGCGCAAATTGTCATTCAACGTCTTGTACTTCCATGGGAAGCCGATTTGGTCTGGTTCGGGTGCGTAGAAGTCGAGTCTGTAAATATTGTGATGAAAAACAGCAACTTGGAAAAGCTAAAGCGTCCTCACAACTTTAAAAGCGCATATCTCAAAAACTAGCACAGCTATCAAAATGATGAAATTACAAAAATACAGGAAATTTTATGAAGTTAATTTTGTTAATTTGCACTGTCTGTCTAGCTGTTATGGTTCATAAGATATGCGCCTTTAAAACTAGCGCCTTTCCTCAGCGCGGCGACCACCGTCATCCTCGTGGGGGCCAGTGGGTGCCAACTTTAAAGGCGCATATCTCAAGAACCACTAACGCTACTGGAAATTTGAAACATTTAAAATATAGAAAATTTTATGATCTGTAACTCACTTAGTACTTGGTCCTCCTCCTCCTGGTCCCGGTGGCACATTATACCCCATGCGCTTCATATCCTCCTTCCTCTTCTGATTCAAATGTCTCTGCAATTGAACATCAGGCACTGATGGCCATTCTCGTCTCCAATCTGGAATTCCTTCTGGAATCAAGTCTCCTTTTGGTTTTGGTGTGAACAGGGCCGTATTATCCAGAGCCAAGTATGGAGCAGCATGAGTAACAATTGGCTCAGGTGGCTCTAATTGGAGTTGTGGAGGGTTGGAAGGTCGGGTGTAGGAATGGGATCTATGGTGATGGTGGTGATGTGATCTGGAGTGTCTTTTAGCGTCCCATGGATCTAGGTACACTTTTGTCACGTGTTTCCGACGTCTTCTTTTTGAATGTTTGGGACGTGTGGAGAGGAGAGAGCCGGAGAGACGAGAGAAGAAGACAATAACTACGATGATGGTGATGACCTGGAATTTTAAAGATGTTTGGAAATTTTTGAGAACTTTGGGAACCTAGAAATCTTAGAAAACCAAAAGATCTTGAAATGTGAACCATTTTTATAGTTAGTAATTTTATTTGGTTAGCTATATTGATTCTTAAGATATGCGCCTTTAAACTTGGCATACCCCTTTGGGGCCGGGGGGAAAAAGTGCACCAACTTTAAAGGCGCATAACTCAAAGACTAGCAGAGCTATCAAAAATATTTTAACTAAAACAATGTTGAAAATAAAAAATTAAACATTTTAGTAGTTTGTAGGTTTTTGTAGCTATCTTGGTTCCTGAGATATGCGCCTTTAAAGTTGGCGTTTCCCCAGGGCGCCGGGGAAAAGGCGCCGCCAAATTTGAAGGCGCATAACTCAAAAACTAACATAGCTATCAAAAATACTTAAATTACAAAAATGTAGATTATAAAGTTTTAAACATGTTTGTAGTTAGCAAAATTTAGGTAGCTTTTTCGATTCTTGAGATATGCTCCTTTAAAGTTTGCGCCCAAAATAGGTGCCCAAAATTTAAAGGCGCTTTGTTAAGAACCTTTTTTCCAAAAAAAAAAAAACTTACATTGACAGCCACTGACATGACAAATTCAAAAATCGACATTGTCAATTGCTCATTGAAGACGTCCTGAAACAAGAAAATTATTTTGAAATCTCCAAAATTCAAATTCCCGCCAACCCTTTCCACTCACCCCACTCCACCATAGCACCGCATAGGCCGTAGTCATAATACACAACGGGACCGACGTTCCAAACCATGGCCAAATGAGCACTTTTAGGTACTGTAAATTTTTTTTTTTTAACTTTTGTTTGGCGCCAAATTCAAATTTTTTCATTTTTTTTAAATTGAGGTACCTTATATGCTGCATAGAGCAGTAACGCAGAGGTAAGGAGGTTGAGGATGGAAAAGATAACGCAGACAATTATGATGACATACATGGCTGGAATTTCAGACTTTTGGGAATTTTTAAATTTTTAAAAATTCCAAAAATTACCATTAGCTCTCCGCCGCTCCGGGGTTTCTGTATAGATCTGATACAAACCTGGAAATCTCGCCTGGAAGCCATCGATTCTGAAATTTTCAGAATTTTAAGAAAAACATTTTTTGTCTGAAATTAAAGACTTACGCCCCAGTGGCCGGCAATTGTCGATTCTCATATTCAGCCAGAATATTCTTCACCACCTGAAATTGCCATCCCAATATTCCAAATTGGATGAAGCAGTAAATCTGAAATTGTATTTTTGAAAATTTTTGTTTGGCGCCAAAATTTAAAGCTTACTATATTCCAAACAGCGATTGCTATAGTGGCACCCCGTAGGCAGTATAACGGGTCCGCCATTCAAAGGAGGCGGGAACTTGAATTTTGAATTCGTACCTGTAATATTAAAATTTAAGAATAAATTCTAAAAAAATTTGCATGAGTCACAAGATGTATATACAATTGGAGGAGAAATGTATGAAATAAGAGAGAGAGAGAGAGAGAGAGAGAGACGCACAGAGGAAGAGAAAAGCAAACAAACAGTGCGGGTAGGCAGGTGAGCCGGAGAGTAGAGACGCGGACAAATTTTATAAGTCAGCGAGGAGCGGAATATTTTTGTTTGTTTATGGACGACCCGGCATGTAACCGCATCTCTCTTCCATGTTTCTAATTTATTGATCAGGTAAACAGGCAGACAGCGGGGCAGCAGACAACGAGGCACTCTAGTTGTGTGCGCCTCTTCAGAGACGCCTCTTTAAAAAAAAAAAAATATCTCAAAAACTAGGGTAGCAATCAAAAGATGTAAATTGCAAAATGTAGAAAATTGAATTTTGTATATTTTTGTAGTTGACAGCTTTTTGATAGGTATCTTGGTTTTTTAGATATGCGCCTTTAAAGGTGCCTTGCTCCCCCTCCCCTTGGCGTGCTCCCTTGCTGGGCAGAAAGCGCGCGCCATCTTTAAAGGCACATATCTCAAAAACCAGGTTTGATACCAAAACACTGTAAATTACAAAAATGTTTAACGTTTTATGGTCTACGTTTTATAGTTAACAACTTTTCAATAGCTATTTTGATTTTCAAGATATACGTCTTTAAAGTTAACGCGTCTTTCCGCACTGTGTCTTGAGGAGGGATACGGCGCGCAAACTTTAAAGGCACATATCTCAAAGACCAAGTTAGTTATCGTACAATTTTAAAAAACAAAATTGCTCAACATAAATTTTTACACATTTTTTTAGTTAACAATTTTAATCTAGCTATCTTTGTTTTTGAGTTATACGATTTTGAAGTTGACTTGTTTTTTTGTTGATTTTCTGAATTTTAATCAATCAATTTGGCCAGATTCTGACATTTTAATCAATTCCAAAAACTTGAGAGCGTCATATTCTTTTTTTTTCATTCTATCCGTTAAGTTTCCTTTCTTGGTTTGTTGAAATCCCAATTTTTTAGGCATCGTGACTCTCTTGTGTAAGGACCAGCTTCTAAATCTTGTGAACCTTGTGATGAAGGAACTAGAAAAATGATAGATCCACATTTGGCTCCATTTTGAAAGGATCTTTCTTCTTCCAGGCTGAATATCTAGCCTTCTAGACAATATACAAAAAATTGTCAACTATGAAAATGTAGATCTCAAAATTTAGTACATATCACTACTTGACTACTATTTGTTACCTAAATTGGTTCAAGAGATAATTAGCGTTACTCGGCTGTCGGCTTGCAACTTCTGGACGGAAGTTGAGAAGGGTTCGGCTTTTGGACGGATCTTGGTCAGATTTTGGTCAGAAGTCCCACTGGCAGTAGTGGGACGGACATTGGTCGGATTATGGCCGGAATTTGAAGGCGCTGCGTGTTAAGAGGTCGGAAGCTGGCCGGCAGTTTGTCGGATCTTGGTCGGCTTCCCACAATGTCTTTGCCGGAACCTGACCAAGCTCCGGTCAGAAGTAACCGACGACGCCTGAGTAGTTTCTGTTACCCCATCCTCCCCCCTCTAGCTTGCAACTTTGAGCTCTTTTATCTCGATTACTGTAGTAGATATCAAAAAGCAGTCAATTAGCGAAATGTTTATCATAATATTACCTATATTTTATCAATTAACAAGGTTCAGATATTTTTTACAGGAACCGAGATATATGGGCTCAAAAATTGAGCCTCAAAGTTAACTGGTTTTTTTCAAATCTGGAGTCTCGAAGTATATTCTGATCCAAATGTTAAGCATGATATCTACATTTCGTTTAGTAGCATTGTATATTGTTGGAAAGCTTATAAAATATCCTACAAACTAATACAACTGTTGTTCATTTAGCTGGAATCTCAAGAGCTTATAGAGTGGGATCTTTGGTATAACTGGGATTCTAAGTCTTAGCTTGTAACCTTCGCCTAACTTTCTCTTTTCAAAAAAAAAAAATAATTTCTCTCCTCAAGGTCTTTTTGACACTTTCCTCTTCTTCATGTATTGTCTGTGCCCTCTTACTATCTATCAACATGTGTTCTTCTCTCCTTCTTCTTCATTTTTCTACCGCCACCACCGCCGTTGCGTTCTTCCTCTTCTTCTTGCTAACCAAACCCCTACATAACACAACCTTTCCTCCTCGACTCACCCCTCCATTTCTCTAAATCTCTCCTTATTACACACTATTTCTAGCGAGGCGCAAGCGCCTCGCTTACCACGTCTGTGCTTGCAGACCGTCTGATGGGCGAGAGAGCGTTGGAGATGAAGAGACACAGAGATTGTGAGGACACGATGCTGTTGGGGAAGAAGAAGAGAATGCCATTGAACCACCACCAACCACGTATTGCTTTGCATTATTCCTCTCCTTTTCTCTCGTCTTTCTTTTTTTTTTCCTCCTTCCTTGATTTTTCTTTTACGGACACCACTTTTTTTTAAGGAGTACTAGCACTACTTATTTAGTAGGCTTAAAGAAAATCTAGGTACAGTAAGAGAAAGCTTAGATTAGTCCATTCAGGCTTAGTCAAGTTAGGCCAGCTAAATTTAGAGACAACTTAGGGCTTCAAACTAGCGTGCGATCTGTTAGCTCTGAATCTTCAATGAGGTATAACTTGCTCAATTCGGCATTGAAATTATTTGGTATTTATATTTTTGAAATTCCCTTGTTTAGACCTTTAAAACAAGTATAAAAACAACCAAATTCTCTGGGTCCGGATTATGATATCTGCCTTTAAATTCAGATATCCTATTCTTGGATCTAGCTCAAGGCATCCTTGTTCCTTAATGCTTATTGTTTGAAATTGATGTTTGAAAATGCCGTTTTTTTTTCTTTTTTAGCCTTTCCGTACTCAAAATTCTTACCTTAACATTTTCCAGAACTTGAACAATGCTGCCAGATAGCCCGAGCAGCAATGGATACGATCCGGAAGAAATGGAAGATGAGGAATGGGACGAAGAAGACTGGGCAATGATAAACGAAACAGAAGAGGACGAGGTGACAACGACTTCAGACGACGCAGATGACTATGACGATGGTCTGAGATCCCAATGGGAGAGATTGATTGGAAGAGGTCGTGTGGATGCGACGGAGAACTTCTTCATGCACGCCGCTGATTGTTACCTACCAGCTGGAGTTTGCTATGATTGGTGTGAGGAGACCCGACGATTCATGATACATATGGGTAAATGTACGAAGCGAAGAACTGAAGGGTGCCCGAGATGTCAGAAGCAAGTGGCAATGCTGGTGTTCCATTCAAAGTTTTGTGAGAGGGATTGCTGTCAGATTCCGTTCTGTAGGATGATCAAGGAAGCTATCAAGGTGGGTATTTTAAAGGCGCACGATAAAAAAAATGCTGAAAATCTAGCTGTTATATTTAAAGGAGGGTAGACATCAAAAATTTCAAAATTTTCATTTTTACTCAAAAGATATAACTCTGAAGTATAAATATGTACTTAGCTTAAAGCTATGTACTTAAAAACCTGAAAAAAACACTTCAAGGACGAAAAAATGCTCTTTTTTGTCATCCTAATTTCTTCACTAGCTTGCTGCTGCGACGTCGCTTCATAATGTGAAAAACGCGATGGTCGCCTCTTACACGCGTAGTATAGTGGGTACGCTCTAGGCTAGTATTCAGGAGGTCAGAGGTTCAATCCCTGCTGGTGTTTTTACTTTTTTCTTCCCTTGTTTCCTTCGGATTGAACTTTTTGAACTCGGAATTTCTGAAGGGCTACCAGCGTGCCGCCGAGGCCTCCGAGGTACCAAAATCAGTTGAAAATGAAGAAACGTGTTTTATTATGTTAACAAATAAATTATGAAAAAACTACAATTAATTTTTAGAAAGAGACATAACAATTGAAAGAAAAACCACATAATTAAAACAATCCTCGTGCAGGGCTGGTCGTCGGAAGGTGAAGGAAGCAGTAAAAATGGAGACGTCTCTGAAAACCCCAGTCATAAAACAGTTTTTTATTCCTAGAGTAATAACGAGAAGTAATGAGATAAATAGGAACAGTGAAGAAACGGTTATCGAAGAGAAAATAGTTTTTTTCGCATGCCTATAAAAAACACCGGCGACTGGAAAAATAATCGGTCGATAGAACTTTAAATTTACATAAAAAAATTCACTTTTATATGGGTTTTATAATAAATAAGAAAAAAGAGCTTTTTTAATGTTTGAAGTCGTTAAAAATTGAAAAAAATAAAGTCGGCAAATAAAAAAATAAAAATGTTTGCGCGTGGGATTGCGCGCTTTAGGTGCAAACACCGCGACGGCAAAATACACATTCCCTGAAATTTTCCCCGAAATTTTTGCTGTCTGCCCTCCTTTAAAGGTGGGGGGACATGAAAAAAATAATGTTCTCGAAATTCCGTTCAAAGATGCCCCTCGAGGAGTTGAACTTGTGAGGGCGATGATTGAGGGTGCGGCGCCGCTACCGACTGAGCCACGCGGGCAAAGAGAAAGCGCACGCCCGATTGCATACATGAAGGCGAGGACGAAAGCTGTACGCAGAGTGACATTTAGCGTTGTACACCGTGACGGTAGAATGCATACAGCTACAAAAAAACTACGAAAAATTTCCTGTTCCCCCACCTTTAAAGCGTCAAAAATACCATTTAGAACATGCTTGCTTGAAATCTCCATCTTTAAAGGCACGAAGCAAAAAATGAAGCGGTCATACCCTATTATAGATCTCCCATGTATATCGTTAAAGGCGCATAACTTTTTTTCATGTTTTAGCTAATTGAACTAAGTTTATACCATTTTGTAGGAAATTTTATAGGCTTTCAAGCAATAAACAATGTCTTTTAAATGAAAACTTGAGAAACTGACAGTTGTGACTTATTGAAGCTGTATACCACCGAAAACTCGCTCGTTCGAAACCGCAACATTTAAAGCAGCATGTCACAATCCAGACCCAGAGAAATAGGCTTTGCTTATAGTTATTTTTTTTAGCTCTAAACAAGAAAACTATAAAAATGTTGAGCTCAACAATTTCGGAGCTGAATCAAGCAAGTTGTACTTCATTGAAGATGTAGCCCGCGCGTTTGAAGTATAAAACTTTAAAGGAGGCGAGACAGCAAAAATTACAGCAAAAAAAGGACGAAATCGCGCAGGCGCCTTCGCGCCCCCGTAGCTCAGCCGGTAGCAGCGCTGTACCCCTGAGCTGTCTGTCATGAGTTCAACCCCTCATGCGGGTTCTCTATGCAAAATATCAGGAAAACTTTTTTTTTTGGTCTCTGCCCTCCTTTAAAGGTGGTGTACGGTGAAATTTTTTATTGCATCAAAATGTGCAGAAATGCATGTAGATTGACTTAAAAATGAAGAAAAAATTCGAAAAAAAATTCCTTCATCGAGAAAAACGCATCGAAAAATACGCTGAAAGCCCTTAGGGACGAGGTTTTTTCTAGGCCGCCCGGTGAGTAAAAGCGCGCGAATTCAAACTTTTAAAATTTTTTGCGCTCGTTTTCACTGTTTTTTTTCGAA